TATATATATATATATATACACACAATGTGATACTATTCAGCAATCAAAAAAGGGCAAACTCACATGCCATTCGCAGCAACATGGGTGGAGCTGGAAGGGATTATGCTCAATGACATAAGTCAGAAGGCAAAAGAAAAATATCAGATGGTTTCACTTATGGGAGGAATATAGGAGAACCAAATAAGGGATCAGGAAAAGAAATAATAACAATTTAAAAACAAATTTAAATTCAAAATTAATGGGCAACTATAAATCAGAGACATTCTGCAGGGGAGAAGGAGAGGGATCAAAACAGGGGAGGGAAGAGCACAAGGGACTGTGGTGACAGTTCACAGGTGATATGGTGGGGAATCTGCGGAGACTACGACCAAGAGGAGAAAAACACCACTGTACAAAAATGAACAATGATGTAAAATACATATAAACAAATAATTAAAAAAACTTACACTAAAGGCCTCTTTACTTCCATTTCTGTTACTTAATACATGATGTTCTGCTTTTAATAAATAATTATAATCATGTTAAGAGGGGGGAAAAACATATGTAGGGACATTCAGATTTTCTACTTTTTCTTCAATTATTACCCTCTCCTCCATCAATTCCCTTCTCTCATTGAATCACTCCTATCATCATATAAACATACAGTTATGGTGCTAGATATAGGAGGGAAGACACCCCACATCTTCAGGTTATCATCCCATTTCTCCACAGGGTGGTTAGGACAGGGAGCAAAATCTAAGATAACTGACAGTAGGGGTCAAAGGTATCCATGATATCAAGAAACACCTGCAGGAGCCAATAAAAAACACTGCTTGGTAGAGGGGGAGTGACTTCAAAATCATCCCAGCAGATGCCTGCTCCTAACTAGTACTATGGTTTTGATACCTCCTGCCAGGGTGACAGCCAGAACAGCTCTGCCAACTGCCAAGGACTAAAACTCACTCTCCCAATGGAAGGGTGGAGGCAAGACCCCAATTAGACAACCCTGGATGAGGCAGTACCCATATATTCCTCAACCCTCTAAGAACATGGAACTCCACAAGCCCAGTACAGGCAGCCCTCAGCCATAGCCACTCAGACGCCCCTCCAAAGTGCACAGACACCAAATAAACTGTTTTATTTTGCTAGGATTTAGCTGGGGATTCTTGCTACATCCAAGAACTGATGACCTCTCAAACTGCTAACACCTCTATTAAAATCTGTGTTCTATAAACTGTGTCCTCTCTCCTTTCTCACATTTTTCATATACTCCATTTAAGTGTTTACCTGTACACTGAAACTGCTTTTATCAAGATCACCAGCAAGTCCCATTTCTCCATATGCAATTATCAGTTCTCACTCATCTTTCTCATTACTCAGCAGCATTCAACACACTTTCCACTGGTTAAGCTTCCATGCGCTTCTGTTTGTTACTTGTTTGTTTTTAATCTCTTACCTACACCTATTACATCTAAGAGCCCATCATCTACTCCAAAAATTTACGTACCACCTAAAGTATTCAAGTTATATTATTTCATAATTAGTAGAACATTTTGTAGTTGCCTTACATGTTTTAATCTGGGCAGTAAAATTACATGTTCCCTGAGGACAAAGATCACCATCTTGTCCTTTTCCATTCTATTTAAAATTGAGATATAATTGATGGATAATGAATTAAAGTTTCAAGTGTACAATATGATTCAATATTTCCACCCCTTTAAAATATTTAATCAGTGTTGTGTAGTATGAGAAGCTTTGAGTAAATACTGTAAATTCCATCTCTGATTTTGCTCAACCACTAAAAATGTATGGTTTTACCACTGTCTAAAAACAGGATTTATAGCAGCGCACAGTACAGCAACAACTAGCTTCTACAAATAATTGAGCCTTGAAGCTATAATGATCAGGGCTCATAATCTATTGGGGCACCATAAAATGTATGGGACTGGGAGATGAGGTCAACTGAATGGTTCTTTCTAGTTAGCATTTTTCAAAGGTAGAATACATGCTTCTCTCCACTGGAACTTTCTCATGTATCGAGGCCAGGGCCAGGGAAATCCATTCCAACTAAAAACCAAACAAGAATTAAACTGGAGCCACAACTTCAATGTAGAAATTGTACGTGAATCTGTACTGTTACCTGAGGAAAATGTGCACCACCTCCACAGACTTCCAATTAGGAGCAGAACCCTGGGTCCTGAAGAATATTTCATTTAATAACAGTCAACATAAACCTGGAGCAGCGGTATTTCAAACCAGACTGAACAGGCATCATAGGGTTTTGAGTTTTATGCAAAAACAATTATCTGTGTGATCTGAGAGCAAAGGCCAAGCTCCAACTCTTGGCTACTTAAGACTTCTCATCCAGGGCAGGAAGAACAAAAGAACTGGACAGGACATACAGGGTAAAATTCGTAAAAACTAAATTCTACTCCCCCTTCATTCAGCTTTCACATTTAGCTACTAATATGTGGTGTGTTACAATTCATTATTTTATAATTACTTAGCAGATTTCTCAAGGTGGGGTTCCAGGATCTTTAGGAGTCACCTCTGCCTGGTTTAAGGTAGCTCAAGAAGATTCTCTGATTCAAACTGTTTCTGAGCACACCCAAATGAAACAGGCCAAATGAATTTTAAATGAGAACAAAGATTTCGCTTTGAAGAGTCTCAGAGCTGACCAATCCTAAGCAACAGAATGAAGTCAAGTTTTACAAGTGACGTAAACTGTAGTAACAGATCCCGAAGGATACACTATTCCAAAGAAGAGGGAACATGAGAAATGAGTAGTGCCAAACAGTCTTTTTATTGTTCACTGAAAAATACAGGTTGGGAAACAGTCTATTGCATTGTGTACTGAATGCATGTCTGATATTGCAAGTATATACAATGTAACAGTGTAACATATATAAAATCTTACATATTTTACAGAGACAGTATCCACCTTTCTAAACACTAATATGTAATAAATTGAGGTTTAGTCATATTAAATGAGAAATGTAAACACTGCAATCATAAACAAAATGCCATAAGTCAAGCACTTTGAAGTTGTTTTGTTGCAATATCTACCTTGGCAACTCAATTAAGAACACTGTAGTCCAGAAAAAATTTAGCCCACAAAAAACCAGCACTGTCTTTCCAGGAGCATGCCTGATGCAGGTTGCCACCATTGCTTCCCTGGAGAGTTCAGGTCCACACAGACTGCTAATCTCTGTTCTGGACTAATCTGAGGACAGGGGGGAAGAGTACCAAATAGGAGGAAGTTCTTGTTACAGCTGCTTATATTGTACCAGATAAAGACACCCAGCATTCTGGTGTGAATGTGCCAATTTCAGTGACATTGAAATGTAGTAGAGAATAAAAATACAGCTTTGCTGCTATCTGAAAGTAGAACATTCCTATTTGGTATGCTTTGGTAGGTTATTACCACTGATTTCAAGGAAAAACTCTTGGGCATTCCAGTTCCAAAAAATTACCCAACAAATCATACCAAGTGGGAATGTTCTACATATGGATGGGAAAGTATTAATATTGGGAACAAGAAGTATTTATTTCAATGCAGTCTGCCAATATAATTTATTCCTTTCAGATGTGTTTTTACTATGCTACTCTTAAAGAAGTTACTATTTCTATACTGCCAGACAGGGAGGCCAATATGGAAGTACTCCAGTTACAAACACTAGTTCCAATGAATGAAAAATAAACACAATGTTTACTAGCAACAAAACAAGTATCTGCTATTCAAAGGTCAACATATTTAAGTGCTACAACAATATTCACATTCCAAGGTCAACTTTAAATATACCCAACTCTCACTTCAAACTGAGAAAACCCTGTGTGGAGGAGAACATGCAACATCAACACCACCTCTTCCTCTCCGAATACTATCAACACTCAAAAAGTTCATTTTATATTACTAAAGCAAAAACAAAGGTATCTCTCTCTCTCTCTCTCTCTCTCTCTCTCTCTCTCTCTCTCTCTCTCTCTCTCTCTATATATATATATATATATATATATATATATATATACACAACAGAGGAAGAATATATGCTCCCTCTGGACTTCCCTGGCTTCAGGCAAAGCAAGGCAATTTGCAACAGTGGTGCCTAACATGACTATGGCAATGCTCAGCCTATAAGAGAAATCAAGTATACAACATTCTTAGACTCATAGGTAATCAAGAATTATTAAACAATTTACTGAACTAAGACAATAATCTCACCATCAGAATTTTCTTGTTGAGTTTTTATAAATGACAGCTTATAATATCCTAGGTTCTTTAACTAGTAATGAACAGAGTACATCCTCAGGGCTCAAGGGTGAGTTTTGTTCTTACATTTTCCTATACTTTACAGAGCAGCAAAAACTTGCCAGACTGTCCATTTAAGAGATTTCTAAATAACAGCAGTAGTTAACTATATATTTTCCTTACTCTACCTCAAAGAACATCATGTTCCAATAAGAATAAAGCCACCTTCAATATGTATCTTGTTACCCACAACTCTGCATAGAACATTTCACAGCTTGGGTTTTATGCCCTTAATTCTTCCTATGGTTCTTTCAGTCAAAGGAAGTCTTAAATAAGGTCAAGTCAACAGCTGCGGTAGAAACATTGGTTTTAGTGTTGAAGTAAACTTTACTGGGGAATAACTTTGACTGCTTATGAAACTGTGTATAGTCTTACAAGAACACCTATTCCTCTTGAATTTCTGAACTGGAAAATCCTAGTAATTTAAAGGCAGGAAGGGATTTCATTGATAAAGGTTTAGGTGATGTGTAAGGTTTAGGTTCTGGTACATGGAATAATGTGTGGCTAACCCACATTTCTCACATTTCTGCTTCACCCCTGTTATCAAATCCTACTATCTGTCACGTGGCTAGTGAGCTTCTCTTTGCTGCCCCTATTTCTTTTATGGTTACTGCCCATCTGGGGTCCACTGAGGTTACCACTTTAATGTGAGGGAATTTCCATTTCGTGCCATCAGTTTCCTAAGAATCATCAAACAGCAACAATTTCTAATTAGTATAGACAGAATTCAATGCCATTTCCTTTTTACAAAGGAAATCAAAAGTACTGTTTAGGGGCTAAACATATACCTTGGGCATTCCTTTAAAGGGAATTCTGTATCTACTACCAAATTCTGAGCCATTTACTAGACCTGAAGATCATAAGGGTTAGTTAGGTAAAAGCATGAATTTGGTAGCGGTAGATGTATTTCTAAATACTATACGACACCACTAGGGGGAAGTATCTGTTAGTATCACAGGAGCAAATTAAGTGTCAATGCCACACTACTGGCTTGTTTTCCTCATGCTTTTAGTAAAATTCTATTGTTTCAGCAAAGCCTGTGCCAGGGTACATCACCTCAGCAACTCAAATGCTCAAATGCTCAGATAGATCAACAGGTTTCACCTCAACTAGTCCAGCAACTAGCACTCAACTGGCAAACAGTGCTTTGGGGCAGAGCCCGTGAAAATCCTTAAACTGAGGAAAGATTTGAAATTGCACAAAAATTCTTAGTTTTATAATACCTTCCAGAAGTCAGAAAATAATTAGTTTTTAGCTAAATAAACTGAGTATATGCTCAAAAACAATGCAATGCTTCAAAAAGCAATATCTAGAGTGGAAAATCTTCAAAGACAGCTTATTCATTAATAGCTTCCTTTGGCTAAATTACAGTGAGTCAGTGCAGTTGTTGCATTTAGCTCAGCCTACCATGTTCTCACAAAACCAGGGTCTAGTGAAGTACACGAAAACAGTTCACAGAAGTGATAGCCCTTTAGTCTTCTGCGACTTCAGAACTTAAGAAGAAACAACTTCAGAACTTAAGAAGAAAAAGCTAATCAGGATTTGACCTTCAGATATCAACTTGCTCAGTACAAGTTAGGACAAAACTAAACATTGACTCTTTTTTACTTCCAATGTTCTCAGGAAGCTCTTACTTGAACACCAATGGTTGTCAACCTGGCTGCCCGTCACAGTCATCTGAGTAGTTTTCAAAAATTACCCAGAAAATTTAAATCTGTAGTGTGGAGCCCAGAAACCACTATTCCTTATGCTTCCCCAGGTGCTTCTAACGTGCAGTCAGGATGCACACCACTGATGTAGCCCTTTCAGAGAGCCGCTGCATGAAAGTCCTTATTGTATCCAGATAGTTTTGTTTTCCCTAAATTCCACCTGGATAAAGGATTTTTAGACAAAGGCACAATTGTGCTTCCTCTAAAGACACAGCTCACTGTTCGAGAGGGGCTGGTTCTTGGAGGTTATCTGGAGCGCTGGCTGAAAAGAAGGAAGTCCTTGTCTTGGCAGAGCAGGCAGAGTTTCAGGCTTCGGCAGCTGCCTCCAGCAACAAAGAATGCCCAGATGCCCGTGAGCACCATGATGATATATGCTGACACCAGAATTACTCCATAATAAGGACTTATGAGGGTCTGCAAAGGGAAAATAAATCAGCTTGGGTAATAACAACAAGCTTATTAAACACGTGGAGTAAACAAAGATATAGGAAAACATGAAATATTTTCAATAGCTGGGGTGTGTTTGTATATCATGTGTCAAGGAGTACCAGGACCTAAAGACATACAGAATTAACCTAGTCAACAGATATTCCCCTCAACAACTATGCTTCACTGTAGTCAAATGGAAACCCCAGAGGGTTGAAAAGCCAGAACCTAATGTATATCACAACAGAAGATACATTCTTAAATAACCTGGGCCTCATTTTAATCATTCCCTTGTTAACTGGCTATTAGAATTTGTAATAAAGTGAGGCAAGTTCAAGGTACTTCATATGAATAATTAGTATTCAAGGGAACATGAGGAAAAGTGTGTCTTTTTTAGCTGAACAAATGCTACAGATTACAAAAATTCATTTATAAAATACTGACAGAATGCTGAAAAGTACTATGTTATGAAACAGTGATGGCCAAAGTACCTATCCTAATAAAGATAAGTAATAAATGAAGGACATAGTAATTATAACTGTGACAGTGCCCCACCAGGTTAAGAACAAGATGATCAAGAAAGGCTCTGAGGAAAAAGTAATTAAACTGAGACTACAGGATGAGTGAATCAGCCTTGTGGAGATGGAAGGATGGAACCAAAGAAGGGTGAAGAGACGGCTAAGAACACAGCAGGAGTCAGTATTAACCTGGTGTGGCTACGGACGGTCTGCACACAGTATCAGAGGGGATGGCAGGGCCAGCTATGCAGCATGCTAGTAAAGATGTAAGTGTGGATTGCATCCTCAGTGCAAGGAAGAGGCACTGAAGGGTTTTAGATCGAAGAGCTGAGTAATTTTATTTAGATTTATAAACCTGCCAAGAATGGATTAAAGGGGGCTATGAAGAAAACAGGGAAACTAGTTAGGAAAACTCTATACTGGAGGAGGAGTGGACAGGACAGACCGGGCTGGCGGTGGGGATGAAGAGAGTGGATGATATCACCTGACAGACTTGCTGACGGGATGAACATGAAGAAAGGGAGAGGTCATGACTGACTTGCACGATTCCAGCTTTAGAGGAGTGGAGGTGCTATTTAATGATAGCAGAGACCCGAGGCAAGCCTTGCTTGGGGACTTGGGTAAAAATGAGACTTGGAGTGATGAGTGAAAATCAAATTCAAAGATGGCATACTGAGAGTGGGATGCCTGTGAGTTTCCCAAAGGCAGGTGTCAGTAAGCAGTCACACATACGAGTTGGGGCCAGAAGAGAGGCCACAGCTAAAAGAAGGAATAAAGAACCCAGCTCAGAGAAAGTATCTAAGTCGTGGCTCTCAATGCAATTACCCAGGAGTTATTATACGGAGAAGGGAAAAGAGAAGAGATAGAGCCCTGAGAAATTCGCATTTATAAATTGTTTGGAAGAAGTCAGAAAAGAAGGTAAGAGGAAAGTCAAGGAGTGTGATACAAAAGTCAGATTCTTATTAAAGGTTGGTAAGAGGAGAAAAAGATAATGTCCATTAGGTTTGGAGAAATGGAAGTCATTTTTGACCTGGATAGTTTTTGAACAGTTGATCCAAAATCTGATTAGTCTAGAAATAAGAAGTGAATTGGAAACAAAAATTATAGAGGTAACTCTTTTAACATTTGCTGTGATTGGGAATTGTAAACAGAAGTGGTGGCTGTACATGAAGCTGCAATTTCAAAATTATATAGTTCTGTAAATGAGTGGCAAATCAATGAAAAACATTTCCTACAAATGGAGATTAAAGAAACATGGTGGCTACAAGGGGGGAAAGGCTGCTGGTGCTGGTGTAAGGTAGAGGGTACAAAGGTGTGAAAGTCCAGAAGTTGGAGAGAGTCAGGTCTTAGAGTCAAAGTGAAGGGCGTGCTCTTTGATAGAAGGAGGGACACCTCTGCTGAGCCAGGGTAAGACAGGGAGATGGGTTCCCAGTCAGCCCCAGCATTTACACGGTAAGAGGAGAATTCAATTGGGTTAGTTAATATTTCATCACCACACACCTCTGCCTGTTGGTAAGTGCCTCCAAGCTTTCTCATGGCTATTGCGCTCACTCTTCCTGCACAAGTCCCCCTAGGGAAGACACACTGACCAGGCCCATCAGCTCTGGCTAGAGACATGAACTGACGTTGTGCCCATAGAAGAGTACTGTGGATACTATGTGTCTGTGAATGTAGCACACACTGAACACCTTCTGGACTCTCCTTCCAAATAATCATATACCTAAAATCCAAAGAATTTTAATTTTACAGGATACTAAGTTCTTTTGTATGTTTCTTTAACTACTTATCATTTTAAACAATTACATGATTGTTTAAAATATTAAAATACACAAATAAAACACAAAATAAATTTTAAAATGAAATTCATAGATTTTTATTAAACAAAAATAAACCATAAAAATTGATTCGATTACAATGATGAGCTTTTGTTCTTAAAAACTCAGCATTAAGAGAATGTAAAGACAAACTACAGAGTAGAAATTATTTGCAATACACATCTCTGATAAAAGCCTCTTTTAGAGGATACAGATTTCCACAAAAAGACAAAACAACCTAATGGGACATCAGGCAAAAGATCTGAATAGGCACTTCATAAAAGAATTATCCAAATGGTCAATAAACATATGAAGACATGCTCAGCATCACTAATCATCAGGGAAATACAGGCTAAAGAATGTGACATCTCTACATTCCCAGTAGGGTAGACAACAGAATGCCATATACTACGTGTTGGTGAGGATGAGGAACTGCAGCTTTGTGAGTGGTGGGGGTATACGTGGATATAACCACACTGAAAAAATGAGTGTGAACAGCTAACAGCTGACAGCAGACAGGTGTACCCATGACCTGCAACACCATTCCTAGGCATATATTCAAAAGAAATGTGTACATATGTTCACCAGGGGACATGCACTAGGCTGATGAAAACAGCACTATTCATGATAGTTAGATATAACATGCCTTTTTTGTTCCAGAATGGGTAAATCATGGGATAGTCACACAACAGAATGCTATACTTCAATAAAAGAGCACTCAGTAATTATATATAGATGAATCACATACACATAACATTGCGGTAAAGGAGTCAGACACAAAAGCAAATATTGTATGGTTCCATTTATATAAAATACCAAAAGGCTGGGCATTTTGTGCTATTAGAATCATGGTTACCTTGGGGACTAATGGTGTGGCACTAGGAGCCTCCTGGGAGCTGATAATGTTTTGGTTTTCATGTAGGTTTGAGTTACACAGGTATGTTCAAATTGTGAAAATTCATCAAAATGTACACTTCTGATTTGTACACTTATCTTCATGTATCTTACTGTAATAAAACAATTCGGAATTTTCTGAAACCTGACATTCAGAGATAACTTCTGTCAACTTTTCAGCATATAATCATTCGAATTTTCTGGATTCCTTTTTATGATTAAAGAGAATAATATCAACTATGCAATATTCAACAAGATCTACTGGCCACCTCCTATATGCCAGAGTAATAAGGGATATAAATATTGACAAGGTAAGGTTCCAGACTTGATGATAAACTAGTTGGAGAGAAAGATATAAACACTATGTAAAATGAAATACTGGCTGAGGAACAGTATAACACAGTTATGAATAAGTGAGCTATACTGCCGAGTTTGGATATGCACCTTCTCCAGAGACTTCACATGGAATAAGTATCTTTCCCACTGACCTAGGTTAGAAAGAGACTATTCGCTGCAGATAAAACAGTAAGGAAAAAGTCATATCCATTGGGGAGCCACACTGGACCCATTATAGGGAGTATATGATATCAACTGTGGGGAGTAGCAGGAGGTAAGTTTTTTACCACTAAAATTAAGAGAGTTATGTCAAACAAAAAAAAGTCTGAGCTTTACTCCACAGACACCCGCTAGCTATCTCTCACCCCTCCTTCATACACTTAGACAGGACATCTGGTTCCTGGTTTTTCTTTACCTCACTGGTTGCTTCTTCCCAGTCTCCTCTGCTTTCCCAAACCTCAATGCTGGAGTGTCCTAGGGCTTAATTCTTGGGCCTCTTCACCTGCCTGCATGTCTGCCCACACTCACTCCTTGCTACCTTCTTTTCTAGTCCATATTGTTCTCCCAAACTCCAGATTTTTTTTATCCAACTGCCTACCCAATATCTTCACTTAAATAGCCAATAAACAACTCCAGTTAAAATGCCCAAATAGAACTTGTGATCTCCCCCATTTTAGCTGATGACAACACCACCATTGTAAACTATCCAAGCAAAAGCCTTAAAGACATGTTGGCTCTTCTGTCTCTCCCATGCCTTATGCATTTTGTCAGGAAATGCTTTTGGCTCTACTTTCAAAAATATGACCTGTATCTGATTTGTCATAATTTCCCATTATCTCACCCAAGCTGTCACCTTTCTTCTCTTGATGACTTTAATTTCTTCCTCCACTGTAATCTACTCTCCACATAGCATATTATGTCAAGGCAAAGGTTGTAAGTTTAAAAAGTTTTTAAACTTAAAAGATCGTAACCCTCTCCTTAATACCCCATAGTAGCTCCTATTTCACGAGCATGAAGACCAAAGTCCTGCATTATACATATGTGGTTTTCCTTTCCAATCCCTACTTCCCTTCTCACCTTCAATTCAGTGACAGTGTCCTACCAATCTCTCTGCCTCACTCTATTCTAACCACCCTCACTTTCCATAAAGAGGTCAATAATATTTTTTAATCTTAATACTTTACCAATGGCTGTTCAATTCAAGATACTCTTCTTAGATAGTCACATAAGCAATTCTACTTCACCAGTTTGCTTAAATATTATCTCCACAATGAAGCTTACTCTCACCACTTACTTAAAAAAGTTTAACACACCTACTCCCAAACCCCACACTATGGATCTCTTTAATCTGCCCTATTCTACTGCCCTCTCCCTTTTCTACAAGCCTATCCATTTCTGATATATAATCTCTAAATTCTGTCTATTGCTTATTGCTGCTCTCCCCTCAGTATATTATAAAGCCAGAGATCTTTGTTTTGTTTACTAAACTGGTATATTCACCCAGAACAATGCATGGAACATAGAAAGCACTCAATAAATACCTGACAAATGAATGAACAGTCAATCAGATCTAGAAAAAAGGACACTTGCTTTTATATGTAACTTTTTGATAGAAAGGCAAATATAAAGAACTTGGAACATGATAAGAACTATATGTATAAAAAGAATTCACAATCTCAATAACCAGAGATAAATGGCTTTAACATTTTAATTCCTTCTCTACTCAGTACTTTTGGCTGAATAATTGCCTTTGCATGGATGTCATAGTTTAAGGCTAAGATTAGTATCCAGCACCAGTAAAAGGCTTAAGGAGGGGAAGTTATGATTGTACTTTAGATGGATGACAGGACAAGGAGTCTGGTAAAAGAAAACTTGATATAAACACAAAATGGATGGAGGAAAGAAACAGGAAACAAAACACCATGAGGAGGAGCCCTTGTAATAAGTCAGGACAAGGCAGTATAATGTAAAGATGACAGCAGTAAAAGTCAGATCCCAAGTATTAAATAGTGTTTAAAATACAATCTAATCCAGTTATCTTTTAAAACTTTTTCTACGTTGAAAAACAGCATTATTAGAATGTCCATGAGAAGAGTGAAATGACACTCTTGTTATTGATCAGTATGAGTAAAATGGTACAAATGTGTACAGTATTTTAGCGATTTGCATCAGATTTTTAAAAAATATTCATAATTCCATTCCTTGGACTCTATTGAATAAATGTCATATTCATGACACCCTAATGGTAACTAAAAATAGAAACAAATATTTCTTCTTCTAACAGCTAAGCAAACTATTTTTATGTAATAGCATAAAGCTATCAAAATGTATATATTAAAATAATTTATAATAACATAGCAATTGTTTAAGATATGCTACATGTGCATAATGTAAGCTATTTCAGCATTAGAGGAATAGAAAAACATCTTTAATGAGCTTGACCAAAAATTAAGCTACTGTCTTTCTGTGGTAAGACTTAGATGTCAGCACTCATTAAAACAACTTTTTGGAATTTCCTCATTGTCCCATTAGTATGGACTTCATGTAAAATAGAATCTATCATTTTAGGTGTGTGGACTTCAGTTCCAAAATTTGTGTACAGTGGCAATACTCACCAGAGTTGACACCAGCAGATGGGACAGCAGAACTACAAGAAGGACGTACCACTTTTTCTTCTCACAGCCATCAAAAAAGACAACACCCCAGAACAGGTGCAGCAGCATGATAACCAGCGTCATGAGAGCTGAAAGACAGTCCATCATCCATTAGTGCCCAGTCACACTGACAGCAGATACCAAAGCCCACTGAATGCCTGGTCACAATACACAGGCTCTTGAGTGCACCCGAGGCTGTGAAAGTGTGCAGCTACCATCTACACCAATGGTAACACCAAGGCAACATTTCTGAATGAGGGGTCAACACTACAGCAGCTTCTCCTCCTCAATGTGAACCTGTTAAAAGTCAACTTGAAGCTGGCTATGTAGAAATTCTCAGAGGTTATGCGATACATTTACTTAAAAGAAACTTTTCCAATTAAAAGTAACTCCTTTGATTTAAACAAGACTCCTCACTAAAGGGGAATCTCTCCTTTGATTTTTTAGTAAAGACCAATAGAATAACAAAAGTACTTAAAAATTCAGTAATTATCTAAGATTCTTCTTAAGCAACTGAAACCAAACTTGATTAGCACAAAAATTATTCTGTGAACTGTGTGTGTGTTGTGTGTGTGTATGAGATAGAGACACAGAGAGAGAGAGAGACAGAGATTTATCCTGTATCCTGGAAAAGATTTTTATTTAATCTGGGAAAATTCCATGTATTCAGAAAGCTTTAACATAAAAGAGAAAAATGAGGCCCACCCTGGTGGTGTAATGGGTTAGGAGGCAACACTGCAAGCTAGCTGTAACCACTTCAGTGAGGGGTTCAATCCCTGCATAGGAGGTGATCCACATGGTACAGCAGATCTCTCCTGTCTAGCCCACTGCTCCCCTCAGCAGTGTACTTTGATCTGCCTGTTCTGCTCTTCACTCTTCACAGGCCTGCACCTCTGGCCTGTACCCCGGTCTGTATGCAAAAATAAGTAAATCTTTAAAAATAAATGAATAAAGCAGGCTGTTTTTTCTTTCTTTTTTTTTTTTTGAAGAGAGCAAAATGAAATCATTTCACCATGGGGGCACATAATAAGATAACATGGACATCCCCATATTGGCAAATATTAAAGTCTGAGAATTCTTTTTCATTTTGCAAGCAGCAAAACAAGCTAGCATTACCTAGAAAAAGTGAACATCTTACACTCTCTATTTCACACCAGCAATTCTACAGCTAGATCTATACAGTAAACTGTAACAGTTCTTGGGTCAATAGATAATTACACCTAAGAAACTGTTAGGAAGTCAAATTTGGGGGGCCTACCCCAGACCTCCTGAGTCAGATACAATGGAGGTGGGAGCCCAGCAAAATGTATTTGCAACAGTTTTTCAGGTGATGCTGATGCATGGTCATATTTGAGAACTACTGCTTTAGAGAAACAGATTTGCACAAGGAAATATATACAAGACTATTTATATGAGCACTATTTGTAATAAGAAAGTCCATCATGATCAGAATGGTAAGTTGTGATATATTCATTCATAGAATACAACTGGGTTGTTGGAAAAGTTATGATGCATTTTTTGTTTTTCAAAAAAGCCACACCATGACTTTTCTGACATCCTGATACATATATATATATATATATAAATGTTCTCACGAAAATAATGTTGAACAGAAGGGGGAAGCATATTGTGGGTAAATATTTCATTTATACAAAGTCAAAAACTCAAAACAATGTTAAGACATGACTGTTACGGTTGGAGGAACACAAGCTGTTAACATCTAGTGATAGCCAATACTATCACTCCAGTAAATGATGGTAAATACTTCTTTTAGTAGAAGAGGGATTACTGTTTTAAAACTTTGGGACAATGGTAGGTAAAACTGAAATGATGTTATCCAGTTGTGATCCTGTAAAGGAAAATTCCCTTTAAAACAGAAGCCTGGTGACGTGATAGGTTAGAGTTGAGACCACTGATGACAACTTAAACCTAAGGCTAAGTTTATATCAGAAAAGATAAGGGGAAAACTGAGATCTACACAGGCACACTAATTTATTTTTATCATACTCTAAGGTTTTTCTAAAACCTAGATGTCAATCAAATGTCAAAAGAAAGCAATGGCACCATAAACCTGACATCTGTCAACTTATGCCTGCCGTTCTCTCTATGCATGACCACAGAAACTGCAACTACCTGACAGTGCTCAAGACTTTGGTCAACACCTAGAGTTCAGCTCCTTTGGAAAACACTCCTCCTATGGAATTTTCAGTTCATTCTCATCTAAAGAGCATTAGTCTCTATCAGCAAACTTCCTCAAGATATTAGTTGCTTTTGACCTTTCTTAAAAATTCTAGGTTCAGGCCCTCCCTGGTGGTGCTGCGGATTAAAGCACTGCACTAAGAAGCTTAAGCCACTTCTGCATGAGTTCCATCCCTGCCTGCCCTGGAGGAGATCCACATGGCGCGGCAGACCTCTCCTGACCCGCCCGCTGCTCCTCTCAGCAGTGTACTTCGTCAATCTGCCTGTTCTGCTCCCCACTCTGTCCCTGGTGAATCCTCTCACCTTCCGCATCTCTGGCCTGAATCCCAGTTCTGTATGAATAAATAAATAAATCTTTAAAAAAAAAATTCTAGGTTCATATTGATATTTGTTTTCAAGGCCCTTTCCTGCTAAAAAGAAATCTAGGATGAATTGAACTTACTGCTAAAGTAAAACCTGAACACCATCATCTCAGATTAGCATTGAAAGTCCTTCATAATCTAGATACAAATCTAACTACACTTTCAAATATATTCTTTATAGCAGAAAATCAGAACTCTTGTACTATGTCAATACCTGTTATTTTAACAGATTGCCCCTACTGCCTAAATACTCTATCCCTCATCACCACCCCTGCTCATTACACTTTATTACTTTAAGGCGTATCTCACTGCCATCTCCTCAAGGAATCATTTATAATTACTCGTTATTCCATTAATTAAAAAAAAAAGAGCAACTACTACTCAGCACACTCTAGTGAGCATCTATTTAGTCTAAAGTTAGGTGAATGTGCGCTGGACTCACATAATTTTGAGCTACACAGAATAGCATTGAGCAAGTTATTTAGCCTGTGTTTACATTTTTTGTTTGTGTAAAATGGGGCAGTACCTCATAAGGTGGTAACAGGGAAGAGCAGTAATAGGAAAACCATAACTTTGCAATAAATGATAGCTACTATGTGCTTATCTGTGTATTCACAGATTCCAAGTAAAAAGCCAAGGCCTTAGTGAGTTGGGAAAGTGAGGCAAAGCAACAAGCAGCTACTACATTTATCCAAGCTTCCAGGTAGGTGATCATGTCTTAAAATGCATTTTTTTTTTACTCTTACAGATTATTTCCTTCTCTGACTTTGTATTACTCTTACATTTATTTTCTCCCTCCCTCTTTCATTAATCCTTACAATGATTTTATTCAGTGCTCAATATGGGTCAGGCACAGTGGATAAGGGACTGTTCTTGGCACTGGGGCTTTCATAAGTGCACAAAACACAGTCACCTGGAACACTGC